GTCCCCTGCCCAGGCCTGACGCCTCTATCAGAGGTGTCAGGCCTGGGCAAGGGGCCGATCCTGCGATTGGAGGGTGATGGGGGTCAACGCCTGAGGGCTCCCAGTATGTGAGAGGGGGCAGGCTGGGCTGAGGGACCCCCCCCCACACACACACACCCAGTGCACGAATTTCGTGCACCGGGCCCCTAGTGTAGGGTATAATACACATAGTCAGTACGATGATGTTAACAATACATGGTGTTACCATAATCTAAGTAGAAATGGTTTCAATCCTTACATCTATCATGTCATGAAGGAGAAAAACTTTTAAAAATGAAAAAGTCTTTTGAGTCAGATTCTACTCCCCAAGAGTCGATGAAGACAGAGACCCACAAATGCTTTTGTTGTTGTTGCTTAGCTATAAATAAATGGCTTTAGCAGTGGGGATTTCCCAAGTCTTTCCGGAATAAATTTCAGAAATAAATCATGCCTTTCAATGCTGTAACTTTTGCTTTCTCCCCCAAATATTGTCTTACTAACTCAATTCAACAAGTATTTGTTGAAAGCTAATAAACAGAATTTAAAGTTTTACTTTGAAAAGACTTTATTTCTGTATTTTGTTCAAACCAATACAATCTTTTGGTAACAAACCAATAAATAAGTCTTTAATTAAGTGACTACAGTCATGTTAACATAAAGATGTGCTTTTTACTTTGCAAAGGGCTTTCTCATGTTATATACTGGTACTGTTTGATAATTATGTCACTTTATTAGAATCTTTTGTCTATTGATCCTTTAGGTTTCTTTAATTCTGTCCAACTGGATAATTTATGCCAATCTCATTCAAGCAATAGGGGCAGATAAGACTATAGAGTCCTACTCACCCAAAGCTTAGCCATCTCATATACTGCTTTCTAAGGAAATCAATCTAACATATATTGCCTTATCTACAAATACTACACAGGTATACCTGTCTTCTATTGGTAAAAAAAAAAAAAAAACAACAAAAAAAACAAGTTTAAAAATCTAAAAAGATCCAAACATATACCTATAAGGCATAGTGACATAGTAAATTAGGAATCAAAAAGGTCTTATAACCTATTTTTTTTCTTTCCTTCTGTATTCTATGTATCAAAAAGGTCTGATAGCCCAATTCTTCCCCTACAAACCTGACAGGATTGTAAATTCCTCCCAATTATTACTTCCTAAAGATATAACTCCTAATGCCCCCTTCCTTCTGCCTGTTCCCATTTGGATTAGTTGCTTTCTAGGTCTGCAGCACATGTGACTTCCTAAGGCTTTCCTTCCCTATAACCATGGGAATTTCTTCACCTCTCTCCTATGTTGGAGTCCTTGTATCCTGGGTTCTATATCTTCCTCTTTCTTGATTTCATCTCTCATTCTGGGGAAATATATCCTTCAGTAACTTTCTGAGAAAGTATATAAGACAGGTAAATATTTTCAGACCCTGTATATCTCAAAATGGATTTACTTTACTCTTCACACTTGAATGAAAAGTTTGACTGGGCATAAAATTCTAACTTAAAAATCACTGTGCAAAATTGTGAAGTTATTACTCATTATCTTCTTGCTTTTTTAAGGTGGAAAGTCTAAGGCTATTCAGATCCCTGTAACTAAATTATGATTCCACCCTCCCACCCCTACTCCAGACCAAGAAGCTTTTAGGATTTTTCTTTATTCCTAGTGTTCTTAAATTTTATAATGATTTGCCATCAAAGTCTTTTTATTACATTAAGCTGGTCCTTTTCATTATGAAAACTCATATCCTTCAGTTCTGGAAATTTTTCTTCTCATACTTCTTTGAGAATTTCCTTCTTTATTCTGTTTCTAAAATCATGCTAGTTAGGTATTGAGCTTCCTTGATTGAACTTCTAATTTGTCTTGCTTTCTGCCTACTTTATTGACTTTTGTTTCACTATCTGGCCTACTTCAATTTTATCTTCCAACTTGTCTAATTTTTTAGTAGTCTGATTACACTTTAAATCTCAAGAGCTCTTTCTCATTATCTTTGTATTTTGGGGGTTTTTTTGTTTGTTTTTGTGTGGGCTTTTTTTTTTTTTTTTATTGCATCCTACTCTCTTTTAGTGGATCCAAAATCTCTGGAAATGTTATACTTGGTATTTTTTTGAAGTTTTCGCTAGTGACTTGCATTGTTTTCTTTCCTCTGATTTCTTTTGTTCTGGGCTCTGTGTTTTATGTGAAAAGATTTTCTCAAAAGACCAGTGATCTCTGGCTGACTGCTAATATTAACCCTTTGCGGTCGTTTATCTACTCTTAGCCACCAAAGCTTTTTTACTGTTCCGGTCGTATGTCTGCTCTCAGCCACCACAGCAAGGAACCGTACGAATCTTAACTCTATTCATTCATGTATCAGTTCATAATTTCTCTGAAAGCTCTTAAGTGTCTAAGCGACCTTGTCACGAACCAAAACATTGCCCCGACAAATCGGAGATATCAAAACTCAATATAAACAAACGCGGTCGTTCCACACTCGCCATGCAAAACACCGTGGCGAGTCAGTCGCCTTTTGAGAGTGAAGAAATCGACAAGCTTCGGAGATACTTCGCAGAATTTCAAATAAAGCTTTACAAATTACGTTTAACTGTAATTAGGCATTCTCGCTTGTTAAGATATTTCAAAATAATACTCCCAAATGGCAAAAAGAAAGTTACCGAAAGAAGTGTACTGCGAATCTGAAAGTAACGATGAAGAGTTTTATTTTGGCACCTTGAATACTGACTCTGACGTAGAAAGCGATAACGTTTGTAGTGATTCTACTAGTAGTGACGTAGTTCCAAAAAAGAATTAATAAATCTTGTTTATCCTTCATAATCTTGCATGTTATGTATCACTGCTCTTTCAATGGAAATTAATTCCGACCAGTACGACACCCATGTCCAAATTTAATAGGACCGCAAAGGGTTAAAAGCAAAGGACTAAAAAACGAACTAGTAATAGTAACCCAGATTTTCTGATTATCAGTTCAAAGTTCAGTTTAAGCATATTGTGATACCATTGTCTCCCAAATTTTGAAGACAAGCCAAATTACTTATTTACAGCCATAGAAAAATTGTATAGACCATTCTCAGAGTCTGCAAAATATACTAATATATATAATATTTAGTATTTCTTAAACCTAACATGAAAAAATCAATACATAGACTAATTAATGAAGACTTTAACAACTCTCATCATGCCACAATTCTCCATCCTTAAACTTCCCCAAATCTGCTCATATAATAGTAAGTTTTGGTTTGCCAATAATTTGTTTAACAAATCTTTAATGATACAAAAACACATAGTCAATGAAATTAAAACATTTCCCACAAAACCACTGTGCAGATTTTAAAATCAAAGCTAAAAACCTTCAAAAACTCTGAGAGCCTGCAACCTTGTTGCTTTATTTTCAAGTTCAGAGAGGTGGACAATGATTTATATCACAAAAATTCAAGTTTTTCCAATCCTTAAAACAGAGAACACTATTCAAGTAAAAAGGAAACGCCATTGTAAAATTACAGGCTCAAAATGGAATTTATCCCACGATAAAGCCTAAAGAAAACCCTTTCCAAAATGGAATTTAGGGTGATTCAACAGGTCCATGAAAAATTTAAATATCTATTCTGGTGTAAGGTAGTTCTTTTATTAAAGTGGAGCATTTGTCTTTTTGTAATTGCTTTTCTGCTCTAAGGGGAAAAAAATACACCGTCACTGAAATTAATCATTGTATAAAAACCACACAACTAATTTACAAATACAACAATTAGTATGATCTTATTTTAAAATGTGTTATGAAATAATTCTGACACAATCACCAAAAGCTCATGCTGCCTCATATATCAGTCATATACCATATCAAGTTAAACGTGCTGTATTGCCAAAGCCCAAGGTAATTGGAGTCTAAAAATATACTTTTTTCTCATTCTGAACTAGTCAGATTGGTATTTAACCCAAACATCATCGAATGTTGCATTAAATATGGCAGAAAAACAAGATTACTTAAATACAAACTCTCCAAATGTATCCCATAGAAACTGCCCCCTGCCACAGAAGACTGAATCCAAGCATATCCCCATTTCACCAACATACACACATATACACAGGAAAATAAAAATAAAACAGCAACACAGACAATAAATGTGAGAATAGAACTGATACCTGGAAGAAACTATAGAATTCATACAGACAGTCCAATGAAGACAAGATAAACTAAAAAAAATCTGATATTAAGTATCATTGGCAAGGGGATTAGGAGCTTTATTTTTTCTTTAAATTACTCAATCTACTTAGTTTCTACTTCAGTTTTAGACTAAGACACTGATAAAGTTTCTAATGTGAAAAAAAACAACAACAATACCTCTATGACATCTAAATTTGGTATTAGAACAAAAATGTAAAAATCTATTAACAAAGACTCTTATTAAAAGAGTTCTTTCCAGTCACTAAAAACCAACTTGATTAGCCATTTCCAGAAAGTTAAGCAGAAATTTTATTTTTTTTTTCCATTTTCACAAGATGGAACCCTATTGAAGGGAAAGATTAAAAGGACTCTCAGTCCACCAAAAAGTAAAATCTACTCAGAGTCTTTAAAATTCCCATATTTGCTTAACGAAAAGTTCTCAAGCTAACTCTGCAAATTTGAACAGATTAAATTCTCCAGCATACATGAAAAAATTTTTTTAGAACTGTGCTACTTAAAGAAGAATGTGCACAACTGCTTTTTTGGAATTCAAAAGAAAAGGTTTTCCACTTGACCTGGCAATTTAAAGACTTTGCTAACTTAACCTGCAATTTCAATATGAATTCTAAATTTTGAAACAACTTAGAATCAAATTTTCCAATATACAATATAAAGAGCAAGCAAGTTTTAGGGAAGTACTCAGAATCTTAAGTTTAAATTTTATATATTATTTAATCACTAAAATAATTTAAATAGAATACATTTAAGTTAAAATTAAATCAATATCTAAAACCTAAAATCATAAAGCTGCCCTTTATTTTAAAAGGGGTAGGAACTTTCCTCATATTATGATGGAAAAACCAAAGCATTATCTGCCTATATTATAAATATCCATGTCATTTATTAGATTCAAAAATCTACTTTCACTTATGTCCCTTGAGTTTCTTCCATCTTCCATCTCACTAAACATCACTATAGCATTCAGATTACAACTTCTAGCCAAAGTCAAAGATCACATAAGTTCCCCTTCTGAAGGCTTCCAAAACATTAAAACCAGCAGATAAGTCAAGGAATACTCATTCCTGGAGCTGCTGGGAAACCCTTCTCTCCTTTCAGAAAATAAACCTCTTGCTATAAAGATAATCATCTAAGAACAAAACATCACTACTACATACAAATACACTGCATTCTCAATTAATAATTCTATACAATAATAAAATCCTACAGATTTGGCTAGTACTTTGGCTTAAAAAGAAAAGAAAAAGACTATTAAGAAAGTAACTGTATCCAAAGGATTACAGCAGTAAAGGAGACATAGACAAATCAGAATTTCTCCTCTTATGCAAATGTAGACTCCTTAACACTAACTAAAAGAATTCTTTAAAAAAGAATTAGTTGCTACTTTAGTAGTTGATTCTATTTAACCACAAAGAGAACATCTCAATTAATCCTCTTCTATTTTAAAAATGAACTAGTTAAATGTACATTTTACTGTAAAAGTGAAATCTAACTCAATTCAAATATTCTCAATACACATATACACAAAGGCATGTGCAAAAATACCGTAATCACTTTCAATGCACACATTTCTTTAGATCTCTCAAACATGACACAAAAAGTAGCTCAGTTCTTCATAAATTGTCTAGTATTGGACTGCATTTTTGCATCACTTTCATTGCAAAATTCTAAAATTAGTAGTTAGGTGTCCACATTATTCACTGTATTGAGAATTCTCTCAAGAGAATAAGACATAAAACATTTGGATATCTAAATGACAGTGCTGAAACTTGCAGTGTTATACGTAGGCATACATAAACAAAATTTTAAAACCCTGTTAATTCATCGCCGTATTTTAATATTTGCTGTTAAAAGAAATCAATTGCATATGAAGCCCAAACAACTGGAATAAACCCAGAAGAGCCACAAGAAAATGATGGTATTTTAAAATGGTGACGCTTTTCACACCCATGTTTAGTCATGCCAGCCGGAGAGGTGTGAGATATGACTTTATTCATTTTAAATCTGAGAATTTCAGTCATTTCCATGGCATTACAAACATTGGAACCAAGAGCAATTTATCTTCATGGTCCTGATTCTTCTGATTTAAAAGCGCTTTTAAAGAAAAATCATTTCTGCAAACTTAGGGTTTTTTGGATGGATTGTTTCCTATTGCTCAAATTATTTTGTCCCAGATTTTCTAGTGAACAAGGAATACAAAGAGAGAAAAAGGGACCCCCCCTCTGCCCTCTCCCCACACATACATACAATGACCCAATATCTGAACCTCTTTAGACATGGCATCCATTAAGAGGGCCTTTGCTCCTAACTGTGTAAGGGTCCTTAGCTATGGCCTGACTTGCGCAAGAAGTACACATGGCCCCCGAGAGGCGCTTTAGTCCCCTTTGGAAGACACTGTTGGAGAGACTATAAATGACACAGTTGCAGAAACTGTTACTAATGGCAAGCCAGGTGGTCAAGAAGGATGCGAAGCGGTTGCTGTGGCCAGTGGAGCTCTCCAACAAGAAGTAGACGATGTATGGCAACCAGAGGATGTAAAACACACTAGTAATCCGGAACAGAACCATGGCATAGCGCTTGTCCGGACAGGCCTGCACCTCCCCAGTCTCCCCACTCTGGCTGCTGAAGCGAGCTTGCCTTTCGCTGATTTCCTTTGTGTGCTGTTGGCAGATGCGGAAAATGTTGAAATAAGTGAAGCACACAATGAGTGCTGCTGGGGCATATAACATCATCACGATGAACAGGGTGAAGTAGGGGTCGGTGAGCCAGGACTCTGCACACCACTGAAACACATCTCCATGATATCCAGGTTTGCCCCAGTGGAAAAAGGAAGGCAGAAAGACCAGGATGGAATATAACCAAATCAGGAAAATACACAGGCGTAGTCTCCAGGGTGTAACCAGGGTGTTATAGGTTAAAGGTTTAGTGATGGCAATATATCTATCGATGCTGATACAGGCCAGAGAGGTCATGGAGACACTCTTCAGAACTGATACTATAAAACCAAACACCTGGCAAGTCAAGGACTCCTCTACTGGAAGCGGGTAGTGGAGGAGTGATAAAGAAGGAACCAGGCAGCTGACTCCAACCAACAGGTCAGCATATGCCATAGTCTGGATAAAATAACTTGTAGTGTGGTGGTTCAACAAAGGAGCACAGTGAAATACAAAAATCACAATGATGTTGCCAGAAATAATCAATACAGTTAGAAACACAATAATCAACACTTCCAAAAGGCAAAAATCGACAGTTTCCAAATAGCCAAATGCCAAGAGACAAAAAGGGTGGTTGCTCTGATTACCATCCAAGGTGGAGTTCATCTTGAGCTCAGGAGTAATCTCTCACTTCATGCTGCCGCTTGGCCGCTGCCAACAGTTCAAAGGAGCAGCTGCTGTCATTGCGGTCAGCTCTGTGTGTTTGTAATAATGCCCAAGGAGCCTCAGTCCCCAGGCTCACGATGGTGCTGCTCTGATGCATTGCCTGCAGTACAATCCCCCTTTAAATCCTTGGAATAGGGAGAGCCAGCAGCCGTCGTCTGGCCAGTCCCAGACGCGGCCATAGTATCAGGTTTACCATACACATAGTGCCAGGGGAGTAAAGCAAATGCTGGGTACAATGTCTTCAGGCCAATGAGGGTAGGGAGTAGGGGCAGAAGAGAAGGGAAGAAAATTAGGAGCTTCAGCAGGAGTTGTAATGAGTCTCCTCTGAACAGCTGATAGAAGAAAAGGAGAGAGCATTTTACATTATGCATCCCAATAAAAAAAAATCAAAGAATCTGGCTAGCTCAGGCTATCATCCCTCCCACTCCATTCCACCCCACCCCGTACTACCCTCAGTAGCACCCCACATAACTAACTGGTCCTTACTGTACATAGGAGGTGCAGCAACAGCAAGCTTTCATGATAAACAAAACAAAAAATAAAACGAGTCAATTGCAATCAGAACAATCTACCCCCATTTTCCCTTCATTGGAGCCTTTTAGGGGAGAAAGGAAATCTGCTTATTGGATTTCTAAAAACATTTTACCATAATTACCATGAATAAAATAACTTATTTTCTTGATTCCCGTGTAATATCTTGCCTCTTTCAAAACATTTCAACAGAATTTATCTGTCTAGCTCAATTTCAGAGTGTTACCTGTAATTCTGCATGCTGCAATCCAAACAAAAGCCACAAAACATCCTTAACAGAAAGCCTTGCAAAGCAGGAATGTGCCTCAGCCTGGTTTACTGCAGAACTGAGACGCGGAGGGAGGGGATAAAGGAGTAGGAGGGGAACTGGGGAGAGAGGGGGCTTGGGAAAGGGAAGCAGTGGGGGATGGGAAAGAAAATGCCTGTGCAGGCACACACTCTGGCATCTTCAGCAGCTCATTCGGATTCATCACCAGAGAGGCACTCCCCGATTTCCAGACCGCACAGTGGGGGAATAACTGAACACGCCTGCAGCGCAGTGTTTCAAAGCTGTTTCCTCGTCTCACTGGAATCCCCCCTTTTGGTAGAGGAACATAACTCAAACTGCCAGTAAGGAGAAGGGGTAGTAACCCGAACAGAGAGCCAGCCCGGGATTTAAATTGAAACACCCTGCCAGAGGGGTAATGCTGAGAGAAAATTCCTATTTCCTTGTAGCATTTTCCCAAGGAACGAAGAGCAATGTTAAAGAATGAAAGTGTGTTAAGAGTGCAAGGCAACTGAGGAATCAATTCAGCAGCACAAGAAGTTCTAGCTAAAAGGCTAAATATTCAGCATTAATTTTCTCTCATGATTCACTGGATAGTGACCAATATTAAGAAAGATGACCAAAATAACAAGCAAACTTAAAAATCAAGAGAATTTTACCCTTGTGTACACACAAAAGAGGAATTTTATTATTCCTGTATTTTACACTACCTTAGTTTCAAGATTCCTCATCTTGCTTCTAGTTTGCTGAGACACAGTACACAAACATATAACAAAAGATGGAAAAGTAAAGGTACCGTTTCCACCAGGCTTGAAAATTAGAGGAAGTTCCACGGTATAAATTAGCCTTTGTATCTCAGAATACGCAATCTTGTTTGTGCCTACTTAAAACAATGCAAAGTGAGATTTTATTGTGGCTCTTCTGGTAATGTTATGAATGATGACAAATTTCAGCTAATTAGAAAATGCTTATTTTTAGTATCTTTTCCTCCAAGTGTCTCTGGATTTTCAATTCATCCTTCTCAATAAAGTTCCACAGACCCAACAGAGTAAAAGAAAATAAACAAAAGTTGGTACTTGAAAGCATTCCAGAAGGTATGCATACCTGAGTGGAGATATATGTTATGTGATCCAATTTGCATTTTTTGTTTCACACACATGCTTTCTCATTGCAGGCAAATGGGTAGCCATAACCAGAACTCAATTAATTACATTTCAAGATCTGAAGCACTACACTTATACAAAGACAAGAAACTAAAACACCTATTGAGAAGAAGCCTGATAGCCATTTTGAACAGGTCTTATCGGAAAACATGGCAAAGTGTGGCATAGTAAAAGGACCAGTGGACTGAACACTCATCTAGTTCAAATCCTAGCTCTAATATTACTTAGCCTCTCTCAGACTCAGTTTTATCATCTGTAAAATGAGGATCATACTACCTATTTCATGGGATTGTTGTAAAATAAAGGAGACTTCCCAATATTTATCACATAGGGAGTACACAACTTTACTTTTTTCTCACGCAATTAAAATAACCTGTGCTTTCCTACCAATCATGTTGCATTGCTTGAGGCTAGGCTCCTGAATCTAAAATGCCCTCTCTTACTGTGACTGCCCAGTCTAAGGCACACACAGTTATTATGATACTTTCTGAGGCCAGTGAAGGTACCTGAGAATGTGATATGGCATCAATTATTCCCTCTACACAAATGATTTCTCTGCCTGTGTCACCAGCCATAAATTCATCCCCAAGCTCCCCTTTCCATCTATAATTTACCGGCTGTCACACAACTACAAGACCTAGATGTCCTGTTGAGATTTCAACCAGAGCACTCAAAATTAATTTCCCCACCAACTAAGCCTGTCTTGTTCTTCCCAATGTTTTAGGCACTCAAGAATGAAACTTAGAAATCATTTTGACCACTCTCTCTCAATACACTGTTCTTAGGCACCATTTCCTAGAAATCTATTTCTACAACAGCTCTCAAATTCACTTCCTCTTCAGTTTTTACTACTTTACATTAGGCCATCATTAAATATCATCTAGACTTCTAATCTTACTCATTTTTCTAGTATATTTATTTCTGCCTGATTGAATATCCAGTACCATATACTTTATTACGGTACTCCACTGTTCAAGAAGAGTCAATGGCTCCCAATTGCCTTTCCAATCTGATACCACTATTCTACATCTCCCCAAACAACTTGAGCTCCAGCCAAACCATTCGTCATAGACTGTATTTTTGAACTCCCATTTTTGAGTGCTTAAGAAATATTAAATGAAAATAAGGAAGCTTTAGTTCAATAAATAGAAAAGGCATTTGCCAAAGTCAGGAGTCCAGTCTTTTCCAACTCCTTGTGAATTTGGCCATGTAACTTACTATCTCTACATCCCAGGTTACTCATGTTTAAAACTAGATGGTTACGCTGATAAAAATATATTACATTGGCTGATGACTTGAAAGAATTAAAAATGTAATAAAAGTGCAATAAAACTACAAGCTGTTTTACTACCACCATTAGTACAAGAATAGGTGTTCTAAATATTTTTTATTTTAAACCAGTCTTTGGAACTGTAATCAAAATATTCATATAAAAACAAACAAACAAAAAAACAACCCTGATAGCCACACTTTATCAAATCAGTCAAGAGTTAAATGTTTTATTTTGAGAAAAAAACAAAATATTTATGAAAGGGGGCAATAAATCTATGTCCTCGCAAAGACCTATGTATACATTTATTTCCTTTTTAAAACTAATGCAGTCTCATGATGTATTTGATTTTTATGAAAGAGAATAAATATTTCTGCATATACATGACTGGAAGGAAATTCATTAAAATTCAACTCTACTTTTCATTGATAGTTGGATTACAAGTGATTTTTTATTTTCTCCTTTATGGTTTTCTTTATTTTATAAATTTCCCAATTTCTATGTATTATTTAATGGGTTTATTTTGTGTTTTGTTTTTAAAAAAACAGCCAAAATAATATATAACATGTCGCTTTGGGAAAGGTAACAAAAAAACCTGGCTGCAAGGTTTTTTTTGGCCTTCACTCTATAAATCAAGTCACTCTTTTCTCCTCCTTTAAATTTAGTCTTTGAAGGAGCTAAGCCAAAAAACCCCTCCAAGGTAATATTATATGTGAAATTTCAAAATATACAGCATGCATCTGGCAAAGAACCCAAGTCCAGAATAAATAACTTCCAAAAATTAGTAATAAATAAATAAATAAATAAATAAATAAACACACACACACACACACACACACACACACACACACACATATACACATATATATATATATGAAAATTACATATGAAAATAGTATGTACAAATCCTGCTGTCTTGGTCTGTTTGAGCTGCTACAACAAAATACCACAGACTGGATGACTTATAAACAGCAGGAATTTATTCCTCACAGTTCTGGAAGCTGGAAGTCCAAGTTCGAGGCATTAGCACAGTTGGGTTCCTGTGAAGGCCCACTTCTGGCTTGCAGGCTGCCAGCTTCTTGCTGTGTCCTCACATGGTGGAAGGTGGCAAGGGATCTCTCTAGAGCCTCTTTTATAAAGGCATTAATCCCTGTCATGGGGGATCTGCCCTCATGACCTAATCATATCCCAAAGGCCCCACCTCCTAATACCATTACCTTGGAGGTTAGGTTTCAACATATGAATTTTGAAAGACACAAATATTCAAACCATAGCATCTCCTATATTCAAAAATGTTCCTAAGCAACTTTCTTCATAATAAGCCAAAAAATGGGGGGGAACCCCACAAATATCTATAATAGCAGAATAGACTTTTTCAAAGTGTGGTTTGCTGATACAATGGAATACTCTCAGGAATTTTTAAAAAATGAAAGCAAACAAAAAAACAGCTAATGAAACACTCAAAAAAATGACTGCATTTAAAGTAATACCAACTTGCATCAAATAACACTGTAGTGTAAAAAAATAAAAAACTGTTTTTGCCAATATTATGATAATTAAATAATTTGTATTTTCTGATCACCTACCAGCAATTTAAACTAACATACACATCATTAGAGACCTTTTTAGGTTTTAGCCATGTGCATGATAATCAAAGTTTAATGTGAAATACAAAGCACGTGACATCAGCATATGTAAAACAATCAAATATATCAGGTTTGTTAATAGCTGATATTTTACACGTCATGTAATTATCAAATTCCTATTAAAAAAACAGACTTCCACATTTTCATGGAACCAGAAAAATAGAATACTTCCTGTTTTACAAATTATCTGTATGAATGGCCCCACCAAAAATATTTAAGAAATAATTTTTGGCCAAACATTTCAAAGGACTTCAAAAGAGGAACTAGAAAGATAGTTAGAACTGAGAATTATACACCCAAAATATGATTTTCCAATAAAGGAAAAAATCAACTTGACAATTAACATGACTACATGTGACATACCTCACTTCCATTCATACTATGAGCACAATGGTCTTCCATCTTTCCAGGCTTGGGGAGCTCTTTTCTGAAACCCATCTTAAATGTGATGTTCCTGATAATCTCCTGTTCTCCCAGGCTGAATTTATCACTTTTGATGGCTCCAACTGTGCTTTTTCAGACTATCATATGACATATGTCTATCACATGACGGTTATTTCTGTGTTTGATCTCCTCACTCCAGCATTAGGGTTGTAATACAGGCACTCAATAGATGCTGGTTAAACAATTATATCAACACTAGAGGCCTGGTGCACGGATTCATGCACATTGAAAGGAGATTAATTAGAAGGTGGCTGGTGGGGGCAGGACTGGGCCAGATGGGCTGGACACGCCCTGAAGCCCGAAGGGCATCTGCAGAGTGAGTGGGATCCCTCCGACAGGTGGGGTCCCTCAACCTGGCCTGCAGGGATCAGGCCGAAACAGGCAGTCCGACATTCCCCCGAGGAGTCCCTGAGTGCAAGAGGGCGCTCTGCAAAGTTGCTGTCACTCAGCAGCTCCTGCGTTAAGCGTCTGCCCCCTGGTGGTCAGTGCACATCATACCTACTGGTTGGCCAGTCACTTAGCCTTTTATATATATAGTAGATAATGGAGGGGATTAGACTATTAGTTCTTTTTTTTTTATTGCTTAAAGTATTACAAAGAGTATTACATATGTCTCCTTTTTTTTCCCCCCGCCCTTGGCAATCCCCTGGCCTCCCCTACCCCCCAGTGTCTTATGTCCATTGGTTATGCTTATATGCATGCATACAAGTCCTTTGGTTGATCTCTTAACCACCCCCCTCCTGCCCTCCCACCCTCCCTGGCCTTCCTGCTGTAGTTTGACAGTCTGTTCGAGGCAGCTCTGCCTCTGTATCTATTTTTGTTCATAAGTTTATAATGGTCTTTATTATCCAGAAATGAGTGAGATCATGTGGTATTTTTCCTTCATTGACTGGCTTATTTCACTTAGCATAATGCTCTCCAGTTCCATCCATGCTGTTGCAAATGGTAAGAGTTCCTTCTTTTTTACAGCAGCATAGTGTTCCATCGTGTAGATGTACCACAGTTTTCTAATCCATTCATCTACAGATGGGCACTTAGGCTGTTTCCAGATCTTAGCTATGGTGAATTGTGCTGCAATGAACATAGGGGTGCATATATCCTTTCTGATTGGTGTTTTAGACTATTAGTTCTTGAAAGAAAACACATCTGACAAGAAATAAGATGATGAGAAGGAACACTAATATTTTGAGCAAATCATTCTCATTTTCTGGTGTGGAAAGATCCAATTTCATGTTCAAATGCTGTACTTCCCTTAAAGTTTTAAAATAAAAATCTTATAGAGGTATTACTCATCTCTTATAAGGTATTCATACATTTTTAAAAGAGTCCCACCTTTTGTCACATCGAATAATTATCATACATTATTCGAATTCTGAGAAATTCACTCATAACCCAGGTTTGGGATTTACATAGCACTGGAGAAATTGCTTCCTAAATATAAACATTTCAAGAATTTGAGGAAATAAAAATTAAAACCAATAACATGGTTACATAGGCACAAAGCATTACCTAACCTTGCAGAAAATTCTTATTCAAATTCTTGTATTCTTTTGCAAGAAACAGTTTTTGTTACTTTGCTTACAAAACATTGAAGAATGCATGAATTTGAGATGGGGATACTAAAAAAATGAGAATTCTTCCACTTAGAAAAATAAGCTAAAAGGAAATATGGTTTAAGGTAACAGAACTATATTTATATTCTTCCAATTGCAGAAACTAGAAGTAGACCTTACCTTACAAAGAGTACAATTGTGTGACATGTAAAAAGGATTAAAATAAACAAAAGAAAGTTTTTGCACAATGCATAGCACAACTGATCTAACTAAAAATGGAATGGAATGCAATTATGGTAAAAAAAAGATTTAGGTACACAATGGGTAGAGGACATCCTTTGCCCCTGAGGTGAAATTGGTCAAAGAAGAAAAACTATCCTTCTCCTTTGTGCCAACACTAGAAATAACTTTGGGCTAGAAGTATAAAAGTTCTATTCTATAAGGTAAAGGAATTATAAAGAAAATTATTGGAAATCAAATAGTCATAATGATCTTTTTGTAACAAATTTCCCAAAATATTAATGCTGAAGCTGAATCATCATCCTCTTACCTTTGTGATGAGAATTCGGTATTTTTCTACCAGGTGGTCATTGTTGTGACAACCTGCTAGCAGCTGCCAGACTTCTCCTCGAAGAGCTTCAGGAACACCGCTTCTTACTAAAGACGACAACTGCTTTGGTCTCACACTCAAGTTGAGATGCCTAAAAATAAAGCCATAACCCAGAAGTACATGAGAGTAAGATCCTCTAAAAATAGTTATTTTTATGAAAACTAAACTAAATGATTTATAAAGACTTAATAGTGATCACATACTAATAAAGAAAAAATAATACATAAAGCTGTTGAATTAAATGTGGCCAAAGTAACTATAAAGGTTGGGTGGAGGAAAGAATACTGCAGTCAGGCTACTTCTTAAGTATCTTTAAATCATTGCTCAACTTAAAAAATAAAAAGAAAAGCAAAACTAGAAACTATAGCTTTATAGTTGTAGCTTATGTAAGATAAACAAAGCAAAATTCTCATCAGTGAGTAACAGCCAAAGATAAGTGCTTGACCCTGTATCAAAATTGACAAACTGTGTACTTATATGCTCTAAGTTAAAATAAATATTTAAAATAAACATAAAAATAAATACTTTCAGCAGCTTTTATGAAACCTTGCTTCAAGTGCCTTTTTTGAATGACTATGTTGATTAAGACAGTGTCTACTCTATAATAACATGAAAGCAGGTTGTTAAAGTCTTTAAGCTTCATCTTTCTCATCTATAAAATGGGGGAAAACTTATCTTGAAATTTCACTATCAATATACTGTTTCAATATACTAGGTTTTTTTGCACACAATTTTATTTGATCCTTATAACAAGCACCTGAAGTAGGTAGGAGTATCTTCAGTTTTACAAATGAAGAAAGAAATTCAGGGAAATCAATTAAATGATTGACGTAGTCCTCAAACTCTAAAACCAATAAGTGTTCTATGTGCTATGTCACACCTGCTTTGTGATTTAAAAGCCACCATTACTGGGTCAATAACGCAGACTTCTGGCGTGGAGAAGCTCCCGTGATTATCAGAAGTTACTGATATAAAATGACCACTGTCTATATATATTAAAGCCTAAGCAACCACTATGACCAGAACAACCGGCAGCTGGACACCCCCCCGCCCCCAAGGGGTCCCAGATTGCAAGAGGGCGCAGTTGCTACGATGCACACTGACTACCAGGGGGCAGACACTCAACACAGGAGCTGCCCCCTGGTGGTCAGTGCACTCCCAAAAGGAGAGTGCCACTCAGCCAGAAGCCGGGCTCACAGCGCAGCTGCGGCAGTGGGAGCCTCTCCCAACTCTCACCAGCATTACCAAGTGGCAGTGGCAGGCGCAGCAGGCCGGGATGAGCGTAAGCAGTGCAGCACCTGGCTTCAGCTCGGGCTCCTCCCTGCCCGCCACTTGGCACACTGCTATATCTCCCGAGGGGTCCCAGATTGCAAGAGGGAGCAGGCCAGGCTAAGGGACCCATCCCCCACCCCCGTGCACAAATAAATCTGTGCACCAGACCTCTAGTCAAAATATAAAAAGGTCTGAGACTTATCAAAATGTTCCCAGAATTCTAGCAGAATAATGCATAGTACACTTAAAAATTGTTAATTCTGTGATGCTAGTGCCCTAATGCAAGAGCCACAGACAATTCAATACAGTGTTGTCTTTGCTTAGAAATATAAATATAGAGTTTGCAGCTCCGTGGAACCATAGAAGACACACTCAGGGGGCAGATTCAGTGAGCACCAAAGCCCCATCGAAGCAAGTCTAGCCCTAGAGGGGTGTCTCCAGCACTGAAGTTCTCCCACTGCAGACACAGCTGATTCTCACAGCCAATTGGCCTGGAGGTCAATTCCTCCCAGTGATACCTACAACAATCAAGGCTTAATTACAACAAGACTGTGCACAAAGCCCACAAGGGGGTGCACCAAGAGTGTCTACCTCAGGTAATTGGGACACTTAGCACAGAAAGGCACTCTATCGACACAGCAAAGCATAAAAAATGCCGAGCCACAAAAAAATCTCTGGGAGAGAACCAAGATGGCGGCATAGGTTAACGCCGGAGTTTGCTGCTTTGAACAACTACTTCAAAAGTGAAACCAAAAAACGGAAGGGACATCACCCAGAACCACAGGAATGCTGGCTGAGTGGAAGTCCTACAACTAGGAGGAAAGAGAAACGCATACGGACACTCAGAGGAGGCGCAGTGCTGAAGTCAAATTCTGAGGTGCGGAGTGCGCGGAGCGGGCTGGCAGCGGAGGGCGCGGTTGGCGTTTTCAATCGGGAGGGAGTCGCAGAATCTGAGCTCCAGATCCGGGCAAGTCTTTAGGGACCCAGACTCAAACGGGAGAAGCGGGACTGTCTGGCTTCGGTCAGAGCGAGTGCAGCTTTCTCTCTGAGCTTTGCAGCGGGTGCGGGGACTCAGAGAGGCAGAGCCCCTGGGGACAGGACTGAGAGCCGCCATAACTGCTCTCTCCGGCCCACCCTGTTGATCCTGTGCGACCCGCCCCGCGCAAGCCCTGCACACAGGCATTTGCCGGATAGCCTCAGGCAAAGGCTAGATTAGCACCTCCCTAGAGGACAGAAGTTCTCTCACTGCTGACACAGCTGATTCTCATAGCCACTTGGCCTGGAGGTCAAACCCTCCCTGGAATTAGCTACAACAATCAAGATTTAACTATAAGACTGCGAACAAAGACCACTAGGGGGTGCACCAAGGAAGCATAACAAAATGCGAAGACAAAGAAACAGGACATAATTGTCAATGGAAGATATAGAGTTCAGAACCACACTTTTAAGGTCTCTCAAGAACTGTTTAGAAGCCGCCGATAAACTTAATGAGATCTACAAGAAAACTAATGAGACCCTCGATCTTATATTGGGGAACCAACTGGAAATTAAGCATACACGGACTGAAATAACGAATATTATACAGACTCCCGTCAGCAGACCAGAGGAGCGCAAGAATCAAGTCAATGATTTGAAATGCGAGGAAGCAAAAAACACCCAACTGGAAAAGCAAAATGAAAAAAGAATCCAAAAATGCGAGGATAGTGTAAGGAGCCTCTGGGACAGCTTCAAGCGTACCAACATCAGAATTATAGGGGTGCCAGAAGATGAGAGAGAGCAAGATATTGAAAACCTATTTGAAGAAATAATGACAGAAAACTTCCCCCACCTGGTGAAAGAAATGGACTTACAGGTCCAAGAAGCACGGAGAACCCCAAACAAAAGGAATCCAAAGAGGACCATACCAAGACACATCATAATTAAAATGCCAAGAGCAAAAGACAAAGAGAGAATCCTAAAAGCAGCAAGAGAAAGAAAATCAGTTACCTACAAGGGAGTACCCATATGACTGTCAGCTGATTTCTCAACAGAAACTTTGCAGGCCAGAAGGGAGTGGCAAGAAATATTCAAAGTGATGAATACCAAGAACCTACAACCAAGATTACTTTATCCAGGAAAGCTATCATTCAGAAGTGAAGGCCAGATAAAGAGCTTCACAGATAAGAAAAAGCTAAAGGAGTTCATCACCACCAAACCAGTATTATATGAAATGCTGAAAGGTATCCTTTAAGAAGAGGAAGAAGAAGAAAAAGGTAAAGATACAAATTATGAACAACAAATACACATCTATCAACAAGTGAATCTAAAAATCAAGTGAATAAATAATCTGTTGAACAGTATGAACTGGTGATTGTAATAGAATCAGGGACATAGAAAGGGAATGGACTGACTATTCTTGGGGGGGAAAGGTGTGTGGGGGTGAGGGAAGAGATTGGACAATAATTGTGCACCTATGGATGAGGACAGTGGGTGGGGAGTAAGGGCGGAGGGTGGGGTGGGAACTGGGTGGAGGGGAGTTATGGTGGGAAAAAAGAGTAACTAATGTAATAATCTGAACAATAAAGATTTAATTAAAAAAAGAAATATAAATATAAATACGTGTACACACACACACACATATACATACATATATATATATACTGGTAGCAAAAAGAACAAAAGTGATTCTGCTGATTAATTCTAGAATTGGCACACTGTCTTGGGCCAAATCCAGCCTTCCACCTATTTCTATAGATCAACTTCTTTGAAACAGCCATTTTTATTTGTTTATGTATTATCTATGACTGCCTTCCCACTACAATAGCAGAGTTGAGTAGTTGTAATAGAAACAATCTGGCTGCAAAGTCTAAAGTATTTACAGTATTGGCCTTTTACAGAAAAAAATAAACCTAACCTTAAGTTTATTTGCTAACCCTACCTTAATTATATTGGTAAAAATTTCAGAATAATTTTATGTCATTGATACTATTAACTTTAGTGTTCCCATCCCCTAAGAGTCACATTAAAAATAAACTTGAGAATTAGAGAGCTCAAAGATATTATTGCTAACAGGGCCACTAAAATCTAATGTAGAGTTAAATAAACTAGCTTTGGGATTAAACTTTAGACTATTAAAAATCTGGGGCTTGCAATTTACTAACTAGAACTGCTGATTTAATATCTGAGCCAGTTTCCTCACCTATAAAAAGGAGTACTAGTTCATAATCCTGTGATTGTGGAGACAGAGTACATAACATTGCACAGTGCCTAGCATATGGTACATTCATTAGTTTTTTGTTTTTGTTTTTAAATATATTTTTTATTGATTTCAGAGAGGAATGGAGAGGGGGAGAGAGAGAGAGAGAAACATCAATGATGAGAGGGAATCATTGATTGGCTGCCTCCTGCAAAGCCCACACTAAGGATTGAGCCCGCAACTCGGGCATGTGCCCTGACTGGGAATCGAACCATGACCTCCTGGTTCATAAGTCGACGCTCAACCACTGAGCCACACTGACTGGACTCATTAGTTCTTACTACAATCACTACTACCACAACATCCATTATTTTTAATCCACAATAATTCTGAGTGTTAGTTTTATAGACGTGTATGATATAAATGAAGAAAGACTCAGAAGAGTTAAGTGACTTGCCTAAGACAATACAGCTTAGAGGCAGGACAGGTAGTCTGT